AAATACCGATCCATGAAAGACTGATGTCCAAATGCATCCAAAATATCGAGGTGTTCATACGTGTGGGCCGGGTCGGCCGGGTGACTACAGTAGGTAAGTAGGTAGGTAAGGTAGGGTAAGGTAGGGTTAGGCAAGGTAACGGTAGGTACGGTAGGTAGGTCGGTAGGTACGGTAGGTCGGTAGGTAGATCTTCAGACTGGTGTGTTTCGGTGTCCACGGCGCCTGGCTGCACCACCGCGCCGGGCTGCAAATGACGGAAGCCCCGCCTCGGTCTCCGGTCTCCGGTACGGTGGGGGTCGTCCGTGGGGTCGTACTGGTCGTGGCCCGACTCCACTCCCGATGGAGTCGACGGAAGACTCCGGAGTCGGAGTCGACTCCACAGTCAGTCTGTCTTCCATTCAGAAACATGCCATGGAGTCGACTCCCCGGACCTTGCGGTCTCGCGCCCAGATCCTGATCCCGTGCCCGTGTAGCGGACCCGTGCCATGATGGATCAAAGATGCCAACCTACCATGTGGGATGGATCCCACACGTTGAAGTCTTGGGCTTGACCAAACCTGTTCACAGGGATCGAGCATGAGGACAAGTATGCTCCTGACAGCGTGACCGCGCTGCTGCCCCGCTTGACATGACGAACCGAACTTCACCGCTAGCCGAACCGAGGGGAAGAAGCAGGTTCAGCTACGACCCTTTCCTGGTCCTCATATCATGAAGCAAAAAAAACACAGCTCAAGAAAGGGTCAAGCCACCGTCCATGCTTGGTCAAGCCTCGAAACGAGACCGATTAGGTCGTGTCTCGATTTGTTGACAGGAAGGTGAGCCGTCCGTCCTATCATCAGGTGAGCTGTTCAACGTTTTTACCTGTGGGTGTGCCCATTTTACCTGTGCGGCGCTGTGAAACTGGTTTTCCTTTCCTTCTTTCTTTGTTTCCAACAGTGGTGGCCTCCAACCTAATGGCATCCAACAGCAAACTCCATGTGCTTCACTCACAGCGCTGTACTTGTTACTTGTTCATCTGTTTCGCCCCGACCACGACACAGGTCTGCGAATGCACGTTGATCACTTGCAGACCTGGTTTGGAGGTTTACGGTAGTTAACGGTCACCCTGAGCCTTACGACTGTTGTTTGCAGTTCTTCGTTGTTTTAGGACACGCACTGGGCCAAAGAAAGTAAGACCAACAATGCAGAGAAAGATCTCTGAGCAAACGTTCCATGCACCTCTTTGCACAACTTATCTACCTCGTTTCTTTGGTGGTTCACCAACTTCTCTCCATCCACGTCCTTCATCCAAGTGGCATGAAGTTCTCATGCCGAAGCTCAGCCAAGGGCGGCCTCTTTCCGGGGCCCTGGCGGTGCGAGAGTGGAAGGGTGTTTCACCAACTGATTCCGTGAAACACACACCTGATCATGAGGCGAAAAAACATGCCACTCACTCCACATTATATATATATATATATGTATATATATAGAGAGAGAGAGAAGAAGAATTGTAAGAATAAACAGCAAGAGATGGTGGGATCTTCTCTGGCCTGGCCCTTTGATTAGGTTTCTTCCCATTTTAAAGGATTCAATATCATTCAACCACTACGTTGCAACGAAAAGAAAAGGATTGAACCCCATTGGTTGTACAGATCTCCCACACGGCAGAAAAAATCTCTTTCCCCCCCCTCTCCACACGGACATCGAAGCGGATCCTTGGACAGTTCCCACCCCGACTCGACCCGTTTTCAGGTTCGCGCTCGGCTGCTACATGTGCTGGCGCCGGTTCTGGGGAGAGGGTCTGGTTGGTGCCACCGCGTGGTGAAACCTGAAGGAACCCTGTTGCAGTTCACAGGTCCCAAAGGTCCCCCCCACCTCGCTTGAGCGGAGGGCGTCGTCCAAGAGGTCGTCCTGATAACCCTTCCACCTGCACCGGTGCGCTCGAGCCCGCCGGAGGGGGAGACGACGAGAAGGCGGCCGGCGCGGCGCGTGTGTTTTCGGCGTCCCGGAAGTTGAGCGTTGGGGCGCTTTTGGGCGCTTTTGGGCCGTTCAGTGGCGTTTTGGGGACAGTTCGAATGGAACACGACCCACAGTCTTAGCAATGGGTCACTACGCAGTTTACATGGGTGGCCAAGATGGTTGCGGAGTCAGGTGTAATTACATGCAAGTGAACCATCGCACAAATAGCACAAATGGGAGATGGCTCTGCTCTCCTCTCCTGGCCAGTGGCACTATTCATCGTATTGCGGAAAAGTGGGCCCAAATCAATGGGTGAAGTGTTTCCACAACACAAAGGACTGACATTTGTTGATGGTCACCGTGACGACGTGTCGCTTTCTTCATCGAAACCTCGGACGGGGGTCCACGGGGGCGGAGTTTCTCATTTGGTCAGTAGTCAATGCATTTGGTGGCTGTGACACTACAACACCTTCCCAAGTGAGGTGAACTATGATTGTCATGCTCACCATAATTGAGGTATGGAACATGATAAAACATGGAACCTGAAAGAACTGAATGATCGCACAGCTGCACCAAATTTGAACCATGCGAGGTGTAAACAGCATTCGGGTGGCAAACGTGTAACCTTGTTTGCATGAAGCAGCTGCACCTAGCCCATACTCCCAAACCAAGACATGTTGGTTCTCTGGAGGGTTTCTAGAAGTGTGCAGCTTCGTATGTTCAACGCACGACCGTAGCCAGCCTTGGCCCACGTACAGGATCCTGGGCGCACAAAAACAAGAACACACTTAAAGATTAAAAATACAACACAACGATTAAAGAAACAGAAAAAAAAAGAGATACACGCAGAACACGTGACTTCACCATCCCAGCCGACATGACTCGCTTCCTTCCCTCTCCTTCGCCCCTTTGGCCCGCCCAAACGGCCGCTCCACCAACGGCTTACTGCGCCAAGGCTCATGGTAGGGAAAATTGTGGTCGGGCACCAGCTTCACTGTCACCACCCTGAAAAAGACTTCACATCGGCAGCGAACCGCTTCAGCTCGGCGAAGGAGAATGGGGGAAGGAAGGCTCTCAGTGGATGGATGACATTGGGCCTTTGTGCATATGAGCAAGCATGCCAGGCATGCCCCCTTGTCATTCGAAGCCCTGCGCTTTTTAACTTGGACTCTTCATCAGCTGAGAAGTGCTCCCAGCCCGTGCGGCTGACGAAAGGGGGAGCCACCGTAACCCACTGGCGGTCCTAACCCACCGTGCCATCACACGAACCGGTGGTGAACCTTGCGCCAAAAGCCAACCGGTCGCGCCGAAGAAGAAAACGGGTCGAAGAAACTGAACTGACTACAGAGAAGCAGCTGGGTGATTGGCACGAGTTCAACTCCCCCCTGAAAAAGCCTCTGGGACACCTCTTGGACACCTCTTACGGCATCCACGATGCAACAGATTCAACAGATTCACAAGCTAAGGTTGGCTGTGTCATTGCTGTTCGTGCGTCTTACATGTTCGCAACGTTTTACCTCATGAGCGAGACCTTGTGAACCATCCCTCCAACAGCCCCATGCCTATGAAAAAAAGATTTGCCTCACTCCGCTTGATGTCCCACCAGTCCTTTGTCACTGGACGTCGCTGTATGCTTTGCCTCCACTGACACGGATGCATCCCTGCTAGCTTTCGTCACCTACACATTCATGAGAAGTCAGCTTACTGACCATGTATGACTTCCTTCACCCATGGTGAGAGGAGAGGGAACAAAAATCGATTTGGCCAGCCGACCAAATCTAACAACTTCTAGTGCTTGGTTGGTCTGGCAGCGAGCGAACTGCAGAAGAACTGGAAGAACCGGGTCCAGGACCGGCCAAATGCGCGCTGCGAAACTCTCAAAAACGCCAGCGCTCCCGCCCCACAAAACGCCACCGCTCGGGGGGGAGGACCAATTGCCCCGGAACCAAGTGACACGCGCCCTGGTCCGCGCGGACTGCGCGGTAAACGCGCCTGTGCTCCACGGTACCAGGCACCTGCGCGACCGGTGCGATCGACGTCGTCGTCCGCGCGTATCCAAACGTCATCCGTTTTGGTTGGGCGCAGCTGACATGCCGAAGAGCACAGCTGAATATGGATGAAGCCAGCAATCCACAACTAGGAGGGTATAGCAGGAGGGTACAGCAAAACACAAACAAATCGATTGAACAATGCTTCAAACACGTACAATCTTGTACACTTCAAACATCTTCAAACGCTTTGCGATGGCTAGCGGCTACCTGGCTGACCCCATCAAGAATTAGGGACACATTGACGGTCCCCCGGTCCACGAACAAATCAAACACAAATGGTCTCACAACGGTCACCCTCTTCTGTAGACTTTCTGTAGTCCCCTGAGTCTTAGTCCACTGCAAACTCCTTGGAGGTCCCAGACCTCCCTCAGAATGAATAGCCCCAGACGTCTCCCTCACCCATCGCGCAAAAAGAAAGTAAAAAAACGCGTAGGGGGTACAGGACATGCGCGTCAAGGTCAGGACGCGCGGCAAACGCGCGGCAAACGCGGCCGACTTACGTCCGAGGTTCTTCCAAAAACGCTCAAAAACAACCGTGACAGAGCCCGGCGAGTTCTTGGGGGCCCCTGGGCATAGACTCAAAGCGACAGAGCTTGCGGACGTGCATCCCTCTTTTTGCCGAATGCGGCTGCGACCACACCACGAGGCCAGCAGCACCTATGGCGCGCGGCTGTGGCTGCTCTCACCGGCACATGTGAAGGCATAAGCGCCGCCGCTTAGGAATGGACGGCCGTGGAAGCTGAGGTTCCGTGGTGAGAGACCTCTTGTCCGGAAAAAAAGGTGGCCGAAACGGGGGGCGGTGTCCGGTTCCTTCGAAAAGGACGTTGGGCAGTGTAAACCGCCCCTTTAACAGAAAACCCGGAACAAGCTGGTTGAAGCCTTTCAGTTGTCGCGTTGTCGCTCGAGTCGTGTTAGAAGAATCCAGTTTCACTGGCCAAACTGAGTGAGTCCACTCAGATATTCAACGGACCCCTGCCCTACCTACCGGACCTACCTATATCGTACCTATACCTACTTGGCCATGTGAACGCTCACATCCTGGATCTCGGCCACGCCCATCTTCTGGGCATTCTCCACGGTGATCTCCGGCGGCCGATCCTCCTGGCCGCGCGCGGCCGCTCGAACGGAGTCGCGCAGCAACCAAAAGACGGGCCATCCGAGTCCGCCCCCACGCTTCAACAGAGGAAGAAACGAGCTTCAAACGGGGTTGACATGACCTTGAATCCCAAGGAGTCCAAGGAGTCCTTGTTGGATGTTGTTCTTTTGGGAAACTGTTGGGTGGGAATTAGAATCCGCACACGAGGCTGCCTCGGCCATCGCCGAATGTTGGCAGGAAGACTCCATATTCGTCGTTCTTTTCTACGTTGAATCATAACTGCGTTCACCCGTGCTCAGCTGGCAGACTTCACTCCATCTACTCTTTTGGGCCACTTCACTACACATTCACCAAAAAAAAGGATTCATGCGATGGAAGTGTAGCACATAGTGTTACATATGAAAACGAGGTTTCGACGTTTCGGAACACCTTTTCACCTTGAGCCAAAATATGTCATAAGTCACGTGTCTGCAGTATCCTAGCGGAGTATTTATGGGCTGTACATGCAAACACTCCTCCTCTTGCAAAGCACTGTACTGCTGCGCAAGTTAAAGTAAAACATGTGAAACCTCACGTGGCTACGCCACTCTCAGCCGTGGTAGTGGAGCTTGGCCAGGGACCTTACTCCAAAACATCCAGCTGCCCTTTGCTTCGCTTACTGAAGAAGGCATGTTGCAAGTCTTCCATCGTTTTGCGAAGCTGCACCCCAGGAACCGATTTGGTCAAAACATCGGCTTTGTTCTTAACTCCTGGAACGTGGTGCACTTTCAAGTGGCCTTCGGCAACTCTTTCCTGCAACCATAGGTAACGAGTTTGGATGTGTCTGGCTTTACCCAATCCAACTCGGTTGACAGTTCCTTTGGCTGCATTGGAATCGCCCTCTATGGTGACTTCCAAATCCAAACCAAGATCTGCGCGTAGGCTTTGAAGTCCTAAGCCCACAGATCCGCCCTTGACGAGCGCGTAGTATTCGCTGTCGCCTGTCGAAAGGGCTATGGTGGATTGGATGTTACTGCTGTGCTTCAGCACGTGTGTGCCGTAAATGGCAACCATGCCAGTCGTGCTCTTGCGTGTCACAGCATCTCCACCGTGGTCGGCGCCGACCTGGATCCTCAACCTTGAGGGTACCTGCTGTGAGCCAAAACATTGCCCGACATCCGGGTACTTCTTAAGGTACCTGATGAGACGTTTCAAGTCTGCAAGTTTGGCTTCTGTTGGCGACACCATACCTCGAGCGAGGTTCTTGACTGCGTGCCCAGTATCAAGTCGATCTTGGGACAGATACGCAGCGCGCATCGTGGCTGAGCGATACCTCGATGCCTCGCTCTTATCTAGCAGCGGACTGCGGCTTTCCAGCATCTGCTGATCTGCCGACTTCTTGACATCTGGTGATTCTACACCATTTGCCTTCTCCAAGCCAAATGCCTGGATCAAAAGATCAACATGTCTCCGGTCGGCTTCGATCACAATTGATCCTTTGCCGTTCTTCTTGTCGACTCGGATCAACCGATTCAGAAAGTGTGCTTCTGTTCGGTCTCCATCCTCGTCTCCAAGAATTCCGAGACATTTCAGCTCATAGGCGTCCTTGAGGACTTGACTGAGCTTCTCCAAGTGTTGGGCGTCTCCAAGTGCTAGGAAGTCATCTCCATGCACCATAACTCTGACGTCCCAAGCTTCTTGGTAGAAGACTGACGCATTCGACAAACCTCTGCGGAAACCAGCTTTCTGCAGAGTCTCTGTGTAGTGCGTCTGCCAGATATTCGGAGCGTCCTGTGTCCCGTACATCGACTTTACGAGAAGTCCACATGTCAGTCCGTCTTCGCTGGCTTCGTCCTCAGGCGGTAGCTCTATGTAGATCTTTCTCTTTGGAGTTCCATAAAGTGTGCTCGTGAGATGTCCCACAAGCCCAGCTTCAGTGGCTGGTTGTGGCAAGACTTTCTCTTTGTTGCCCACTACGAGCACAGCAGCCTCATCGCCTCCAAAGGGGGCGTGCTGCTGAAAAGCAAGTTGGCTGGCAATTGTTCTTCTTTGGCCTTTCTCGCCTTTATCTCACGCACAACTAATCGGCTCCTATAGTTTGGGTTTGTTGGATCTCCCTTGTTGGTGTCCAACCATCTCACTGGAATCGGGGGCTTCCCCGTTTCCTCAAAACATTCTGCTCTTGGCCTTGTCACATAGACGCCATGCTTCTCTTTCAAGTAGTCCATTTCAAGGCGTCTTGCCTCCTTCACTTTCTCGGCTGGCAAAATGCCGCCATTCACATCATCCATGTAGACCTCTTCGAACTCTGGGTCCATCAGAGGCATCTCTGGAACCGGACCTGCTGCGAACAGATCAAAGGTGTTCAGCTCACCTTTCTCTGCTAGCGTGTCGCGCAGGCTCCTCAACACTGCATTCACAAGCTGCGGTGGGTATACCGCTGCCTGCCTAGCAATGCCTCCGATCAGGTGGATGTGTTGGTGCCAGACTCCTTGCAGAACTCGTGCCAACCCTTCATCGTTGGTCATCCAACCGGTCTCCTTTCTCACATGGCCGGTGCCTTGGAGTCCTCTTCGATCAGTGGCCTTCATTTGCCATCTGCACATTGGACCTTTCACCACAAACACTCCATCTTCTTTTGCTAGAGCCTCAACCTTTTCATCTTTCCAGCTGGTAGCGGCCCATGGTGCCTCATGATGGAACTTGCGCCCAGCACGGTGTTGCTTGACATACAACTCCACGCTTGTACGCAAGTGATGGATGGCTTCATCCATCTTCTTCCTTCTCACATCCGCCGCCATGTTTTTCCAGTTCAGGTTCTGGAGTTGAGAGAACATGTGACATGGGGGAGGGCGTGTCAAAAGGACTGGTTCGTCTCTCTCTTGGATGTCTTCGGGCTTGTTCAAGTCCCAGTATGTTCCATCCTCCTTCGCTTCATTCAAGTCGACCGTAAAGCCCGGTCGCAACTTGTACCGCTCTGCAAGCGCGGTGAACCTCTTGGACGAGTAGATTTCCATGATATCTACTGCTGACATCTGCATGCTTAAATGCGCGATGTCTCTGATCTCTTGCTCAGTGATCTCGATGCCATTTGCCTCATAGGCTCCTTGAATGATCTTCTTCAGATGCTGTTTGCGATCTCCTTCTCTTTTACCGGCTCGCCGCATCTGGCTTCCACCCTGCAGGTGGTGTTTCTGGAACATGTGAAAACGGAGACGTTTTCTTTGGACTCTCTTCCACTCTGGGGTCAAGTTCCTCTACGGCAGTCTCTGCCGTCCTCTTTGTTCCTTGGGCTGGATTCGGTTTGACTTTTGCCCCTGGTGGATCTATCCTAAGTTCTCCTGTTCTCTTCTTGGGCTCCGTTGCTACCTTGGCTTTTGCCACTGGTTTCTTCTCCACCTCGGCTGCTTGCCTCTTCATCTCATATCTCTCTTTCGGATCATCGGGATAGGTCTTCTCACCTTCTGCCGCTGCTGGCGGCGGGCTTCCCGATCCTGCGCTCTTTGCTTCTTCTTTCTTCGAAAAGAAACCCATCTCACCTCGTTGGGCGTTCCCAAACAGTACAGATTGGGCGGGAAGAGAAAATCACGAGCAGACACCAAACTGCCGCAGTGCCGGGTTACAGCTCAGCGGCAAATTGTTCAACAATCTGCAAGCTTGAAACAGCATGTGAGCAAACAAAAGTCTATCTCACCTCATTGGACGCTTAAAACTGAAATGTTCTGCATGGGTTTGGCAGTGGATCAGCTGCGTTTGCTTGGCCTGTGGCTGACCACCTGCTTCTGGTGACTTGCGCAGCACTAGGTGGGAAGAACTACCCATTAGTGGACACCAACCGGTGCGTTAGGAGGTGACAACTTAGCAGGAAAACTCCAAGTACGAGCACACAAACGCAATCTTACAAGAACATGAAAAAAGAACAAGATGGAGCCCACGAACCCGAATGCAAACACGTTCAACAAGCTACATATGTCCAAATGACACTCTTGTAGGACACTCTTGTGGGACACTCTTGTGGGTCACTCTTGTGAGACACTCTTGTGGGACACTCTTATGGGACACTCTTGTGGGACACTCTTGTGGGACACTCTTGTGGGACACTCTTGTGGGACACTCTAGTAGGAAACTCTTGTGGGACACTCTTGTAGGACACTCTTGTGGGATACTCCTGTAGGACACTCTTGTGGGACACTCTTGTGGGACACTCTGGTGGGACACTCTTGTAGGAAACTCTTGTGGGGCACTCTTGTAGGACACTCTTGTGGGACACTCTTGTAGGGCACTCTTGTGGGACACTCTTGTGGGACACTCTTGTAGGAAACTCTTGTGGGACACTCTTGTGGGACACTCCTGTAGGACACTCTTGTGGGACACACTCTTGTGGGACACACTCTTGTGGGACACACTCTTGTGGGACACTCTTAAGGGACACTCTTGTGAGACACTGTTGCGGGACACTCTTGTGGGACACTCCTGTGGGACACTCATTTGGGACACTCTTGCGGGACACTCTTGTGGGACACTCTTAAGGGACACTCTTGTGAGACACTCTTGCGGGACACTGTTGCGGGACACTCTTGCGGGACACTCCTGTGGGACACTCATTTGGGACACTCTTGCGGGACACTCTTGTGGGACACTCTTGTAGGACACTCTTTTGGGACACTCTTGTGGGACACTCTTATAGGACACTCTTGTAGGAAACCCTTGTGGGATACTCTGGTAGGACACTCTTGTGGGACACTCTTGTAGGACACTCTTGTGGGACACTCTTGTAGGGCACTCTTGTGGGACACTCTTGTGGCACACTCTTACGGGACACTCTTGTAGGACACTCTTGTGGGACACTCTTGTAGGACACTCTTGTGGGACACTCTTACGGGACACTCTTGTTGCACACTCTTGTAGGACACTCTTGTGGGTCACTCTTATGGGACACTCTTGTCGGACACTCTTGTGGGACACACTTGTGGGACACTCTTGTAGGACACTCTTGTGGGACACTCTTGTGGGACACTCTTGTAGG